GTCTACTATTTATATAATGTATAAATATGTATATATTGAAATATAAATCTTATAATACCATACACTTTTGTTATGATTTATTGACCTCCATATAGGCCTATATATAATTATATATAGGCCTATTTATATAATGTTATAATGCTAAAAACACTTAAGAATACCACAATAATTTTCAACCTCAATAGTACCATATAGGCAAAGCCTATACTTTGGTTATAAAATTCATTAGGCTTTGCCTATATGGTATTGAGGTTGAAAATTATTGTGGTATTAATAAAGAAAACCAAAACTAAGCCAGAAAAAACGATAATTCAGGGGAACCAAATTATATATTAGGCCTACTATTTTCACCTGTCACACACTGAAGGGAAATTGAAATATAAAAAAATGACTGTCAACGGTACGCGGTACATGTCTTCCATGGGGCGAAACCGTTGACAATTTAGAAAAACCGGTGCGTAATTTCGGTTTTCTATTTTAGTTACTAAATTAGCAATTTCGGCAGTTATTTTTTTTTATTGTTAAGTATGAGTTATGTCAGCATTGCAAAACGTGATGACACCCGGTCTTCGAAGCATTGTCATACACGTGGGTAGGTCCAACTTGGACTTAGCGGCTTTGTGAGCATGGCCTGTCTCAAAGGATTTTTCAATCAATTTCCAGTGTACATTTGACCGACTTTGCATGACCTAGGCCCTGTCTCTTATACACATTGACAAAAGGTTATAAACGGTCAATAGAACTTACGAATTTAAGAGCAAATTATTTGCCTAAATACGTTGCGCTTCAACCCGACTAGTCGTGAATTTATACAAGGGATATCGAAGCACTCAGTTTAATTATATTAATCTGGCGCTTAACACTGTCTGCCCCACGCATATATTCCTACTCCTAAACCGGTTAATGGTTGACGAATTTTATAGCATAAACTCACTTCATTCTAGAATTCATCAATCAATCAATCAATCGATGAATTTATAAGGCGCATAATACAGCTGTCTAAATGATATGCATTATCCTATGTGCACTAGCCCTCCTCATCTCCCCACCCCCCACCCCCAAAAATCCTCAGCCAATGTTCCTTGTTTCTCATAAATGGCCATAGTATCACACTCCTCCCTGGTTCTGTCTGAGCTGCAATGAAATAAACACAACATAATGTAGGGCGATAAACGTGACAATACTGCTGTGCATCCACACGAAATGTTACGCGATGAAGAAGCACAGAACTGTTCGTCTAACAGATTCTTCCTTAAAAAAACTATTTATTACATGTATAAAAGGACACTAAAAGTAATTTTGTTGTTGAGAACGTGCTGTAAGATTACATCAACAGCGAACAAAATACACAGATTGCTTTCTGACAGTGATATATTCCGCAACTTTAAATAGTGAAGGAATTTTAAACATAAACATGTCACTAGATTTATGTGCAGTATTTGTTTAAACTGAACCTTTAAAATGGTCTGAATGGTGTATTAGGTGGTCGATTTAGTAGCTCACATCATCCCCACCGCAACAACATACAAATCTTTCCACTTGTCACGCTTACCGTGCAATATCTGTCGTATCCTGTGAAACTAAAATGAAATGTTCTAATAAATAAGATCAATTGGCTATCAGTGTTTGCTTAAATAAATATTCAACAAAAAATACAGGAATGTTATGCTTATGAATAATGTGTTGAGAGCATTATAACGTGCAATATTTCCTTCAAACACAGGGGCTTGGATTTATCCAATGTGAATTAATGGAAGCATGATGTAGTGGTAAGGCTGCCAGTCAAAAAAGGTGGTGGAGGGGTGGGGTTGTAGATTGAGACTGAACACTTGTTTGTGATCTTGGAAAATGCATTTGATGGCTTCATCTAAGAGTAGAGATATAAGCGTTCGGATCTCATTATCCTATTCTATAGCTGCGTGTTCCTGTATGTGTTGTTCCAATTACTATAGGGTTCAGTGACTTATCTAAGGGGTGCGTGGGGGTGGGGGAATTCCCAGAAAGTTCGCGCCCCTCCCCAATCACCCCACTGGAAATTTTCGAAGCGAATAAATTACGCTCAAGTAGGCCTAGTTAAAAATCACATCTCATATCATTTTATTTTGCCAGCTTCCGCTCACTTTATCATCGAGTCCTACAAATTTTACCTCTGTGTCCTACATCGGCCTCTTCCCTACCCCCCTTTCAATACCCATAGATACCCTACGCCACTGTAGGGGTTATGTTGTAAAAAGGACTGTAAAAGCCATGGCAAATGGACGGCCATGCTTGATGTGCTCAGCTCGGTGTGGTAGTTGTTGCGATAAGATTCTCTGTATATCATTAAAAATAGATTTACAAGACCTTCTGCATTTGTCAAAATGTGGTGATTGAGAGCGCGTGTTGAAAATTACAAAATAAGTATTTGTCTGTTATAACCTCTGTCATTCAATGGTTATCTATCACCATGGTTCTTCTTCAATCTCCACTGAATTGTTGACCGTTTCTGTCAATGTATAGCTCATCTATTGTGGTTATGATTATGCGTTTTCTTTATCTTATACTATATATATAGTAGCCTATATATATAGGCTACGGTATTAATAATGCGTTTGCTGCAAACCAACACGTTGCTTTTTTTCACAATTTAACCGATGTCAAAATGTTGTGGCATACGGCTTGTTCACATTGAAAATAATATTAATAATTTGTTAAAATTGATTAGTTTGTTTGTCTACAAAGCTTGTACTTTCTGTCGTATTACTTCCAGTTATAATAATTTAATTAAATAATTTAATTCAAATATTTCCTGATGTTGAGTCAGATAGGCCTATAATGTAAGACTAAGTCCAAGGCTAACAGACTATCCTGAGCAACAATGCCATTTATATTAGTGCTATACCATCATTATAATTATCATTGTTATCGTTAATATAGTAATATAATTGTTACTTAATCATATTATATTATTATTGTTGTTATACAGTGCAAAACAAACATATTCCATTTCACAGAACATTTGCACTACTGACTGTACGCTTGTATATTTGCAGGAGTCGATTCAAGAAGGGCCAAGCCGGGCCACACCCATCTCGACCACCCTAATCTTTTGAAAATCAGAAACAAAAAATGGGGAAAAAGTAATATTACATTCAGATTTAAGTACGAGAGTTCCATTCCAATCCATCAGCGTTGCCATTCTCATCAAATGTCGTACCCCAGCCCCAACAAGGTGGTGCCGAGGTGGTATGGACCGTCCATCTGCAAAACCCCCTCCCATAGCCCCTTCTTGGATCCGGCACTCTAACTGCTGTCTGAACACAAACGTTGGTTGACAAGGAATTTCACATGAACTTTCATTCTATATCCGACATCAATTTCCTTAATTTAACTACGAGAGGTACACATGGTTTAGCCACAGTCATAAGTTGTCATTATTGGTTGCTTTATCACGAATTTGAAAACGACATAGTGAGTGTAGAAAGCCAATCGATCGAAGTTTGGTCTATGAACGTTTTTTTATAGGATTGATTTATTTATTGTTCGTTAGTGTTTACGTGATCTATTATTGAATAAATTAATTGAAAACAATGTTTGTAGCGAATGGTTCTTAAATGTCCAAAACTGTGTTCAGATGCTTAAGTATACAATGAAACAAGCCGACGACCGTCTGACAATAGTTTTTCTTTTTAAGTGTCTGAATCTATATAAAAAGAAATCTATTTAATTAAATTAGATAAAAAGATTCGACATTTTTTCAATAAATTTTATCCTAATATGATGGCATGTGCATATTGATATTCCTTGAAATAATAAAGAAAACCAAAACTAAGCCAGAAAAAACGATAATTCAGGGGAACCAAATTATATATTAGGCCTACTATTTTCACCTGTCACACACTGAAGGGAAATTGAAATATAAAAAATTGACTGTCAACGGTACGCGATACATGTCTTCCATGGGGCGAAACCGTTGACAATTTAGAAAAACCGGTGCGTAATTTCGGTTTTCTATTTTAGTTACTAAATTAGCAATTTCGGCAGTTATTTTTTTTTATTGTTAAGTATGAGTTATGTCAGCATTGCAAAACGTGATGACACCCGGTCTTCGAAGCATTGTCATACACGTGGGTAGGTCCAACTTGGACTTAGCGGCTTTGTGAGCATGGCCTGTCTCAAAGGATTTTTCAATCAATTTCCAGTGTACATTTGACCGACTTTGCATGACCTAGGCCTACAAAGTTATTAAATTATATTTTAAATGAATTGTAAACGGTTGAATTTTCTGGATAAATCTTCTTAAGAGGTTTTCATTGTTACGTCAAAGCTAAAAAAAAAAAAAAAAAAAAGCGACGAGGCCCCTGTCCCGGGCGCGGACATTGACGGGGCTAATTAAAGTGGCACCAGAAACCCGTTTGGCATAACTGTTGGGAAAACTATGACTCCCAGTGGTCCATTGAGTACTGTAAGTATTGTAATTAAAAATTATTTTCACGGCTAAATGCCTCTGTGATTCACGAGATGCATGGAAATAGAAAAACCTAGAAAATATTTATTAGGCCTATTTGTTAATTTAATAAATATTTTAAAATAAGTCTGCTCTTACTTTAATCACAATTGAGTAGGCCTACTGTTTTCATTCAAATTAATAATGTCTTGCAATAATAGGCTCCTGGTAGGCTATGCGTGACATTTGTCAGTAGATATTTATCTGGTAAAACGCTGAATTCGCTTTCACAGAATATGCATTATGATTAGTTAAAGCGCACTATAACCAGGCAAATTTGAGTTAAAGCGTACATTAAAAATACAAAAACGACCATCTTGTCCAGGGTTATGTTTGGTAGCATCCATATAAAATGAATATAGTAGCAGGCATATCTACAACGAAATGATCTGAGTTAAATTTGGAGCAACCCGAAAAATCATATACTGCAAGGCCTATATTGAGCGTTCGTTGACGAACGAAATAAACACACATACTGAGGCACTACTTTGAAATAATGAAGAGGACTACCTGATCAAATCTCTGTTCAGTTTTAATATTTTATTTTATACTTATAACAGACGGAACAGCGTCATGAAAACAATTGTCGACATTTGGCGTAAGTTATATTCCACCATGTAGACCTATGCCCCAACTGTATCTTAACATGTGACATAGAATAACAATAATAATAATACTTTGTAATTTTGGAGAATCCAAGGTAAACATCTACTATTCTGGACGGCTTAAAGCGTTTATGTTATCTCTTTAAACTTTGGCAATTACATAAAAAACGCCCCTGAGATTCTCCTGAAATCTTACACAACTTCATCATTTTACCACCCCAAATCCAAACTCAACGTGGTAAGATACACTCTGATTCAGTGGATATACTTATTAAAACTGAATCAGTAAGTCTCCACCTAAAACGTTACCGAAGACTGTCTTATCATCAAATTAAAACTGGTAGAAAAAGCAGGTTGGTAACAATATCGTTAACAAGCTGAGTATAACATTCATGATGAACTCATCTAAATTTCATGCAATTCACACTGCCTTTCTCATCATCTTTTTACAATTTTTCGTTGGACGGACTTCGTAAAAAATATATATACTACATAATGTACGCTGGAATCGATGGACCATTAACATCAATCCTAAATAATTATGCAAGTTGAGTTGTTGGTTTTAAGTACCCTGTACTGTAGTTAACTACAGTTTTCATTGTAGTACTATGACTATTTATTAAAAGGCCAAGCGTATATAACAGATCATTTAAAGTGGATAGAGGATATATCGTTTTAGATGAAAGACAGATGTAGGGGAGTTGGTACTGGAAAGAACTTTATCCCTGGATCGTTTGGGTCGTACGTGATCTGGGAAGTAAGCCAAACATATGGTTCAAAATATAGGACAATGACATATTAAAACGGTGGCTAACTCACGAGGTCAGTGCATAAGAATGAAGAAACATGAAGATTGCAACAATATCCTTAAATCTTTCACTTTCCGAAAAAAAAAACGAAACAGGTGTTTCGTCAATTTCTGGTAAAATAAAAGTTGAACTGTAGATTTAAAGCGGAATAGCAGACTGAGACGTTAGCAAATGACCTAGCAGTTACATTCCCATGTCGATGCTAATCCAGTCTACAGATGAATACGTAATACAAAAGTATAATTCTACCAGTGCACGTTGTGAACGACAGTTATTGTATAAATCTCACACCGAATAATACGACGATAGAAGGTGGCCGAACATGCCTACATTGTATGATATACAACTATACGATTACCCCGTATGAATATTTCCTGTATCAGGCAGTAGGCTTTAGGCCTACCATACTTTTGTTACCCAAGGGCAGCCTGTCATCGATTAGGCATGGGCCTATATAGCACACCAACTTTCAGTTTATAAATACGTCAAGTTAAATAAGAAAAATATTTGACGACTTTTTCAATCTCTTCATAATTCAATCGTCTTATCATTAAAGCTTATTTCAAAGTTGCTCTGGCCAAATAAAAATAACATGTTTTTTTGTCGAGATCTCTTATGACCAACGCACCCACATCCGAAAGTTGCCCAGAAATAGAAAAGAGCCCGGGACGGAAAACATGTATTATTTTTATTTGGCTTAACAGAATGCAGAGTACACAGAATTTATTAGACTAAATTTAAAAATTGACATCGTAAACACTACATTTAATATTAAGTACAAAAATAAGATTATAGGCCTAGCGGCTACGTTATATATGAAAACTTATTTAAAAATTCTTTACAAACTTTGTACATGTTCAAATTAAATAATATATATTTATTATGATATCGTGTCAGGTTTCAGCCATATATGTTATAGACACGTTTTTATAAGATCATATATGTCAGCTGACCTCCTTATCCATCGGAACACACTTCTGCTTCCACAAGATACATTCTATAGCCTAGACGTGCTGTTAAATAGATTTAATCCCTTCTCTTCACTCAAGTGTGGTAAATTCTATTGTGCAATGGATATTACAAAAAAAGCATACCTTAAGTATTCTTAATATTCTATCCATTTTTGCTATTTTTCCAACAACCAGGTTGGTGTTGCGTATACCCAGATGCATCTCATAGCTCTCTGAGGCCGGCGATGTCTCGAAAAATAAGTATGCGCTTGGTGACAATCTGCGGTACATAGGTACTCAAACGTCTACAAGCTATGAACCGCTCTTGAAACCAAACCTCTGAATGTGACGCTGTCCCTCCTCCTCCGGTCAATAAGTAATCTATCAAAATTACCTGGGGTACAGAGGAGGGCTTCTTCAACCCACTATCGGGCAATTGCACATCGTTCGACTAGCCTATTTAAAAAGCAAGTGAAATAATAAAGTTTCAGCGACACCCACAGCCTTCCACTACCATTTCTTTATAAACTTTTAACACGACCTTACCATTTTCATCCAAATAAAGAATACTAATGCTACTTAAATCTGTCGGAACACAACATGCTTTGGGTACAAGCTGTGGGTTGACTGAGTTCACTAAAGTCTGTACAATCGCATGATTCGTTGCGTTCAAATGCTCTGAAATCGGAAAAGGACATTCTCCATGGCAGTAATAAGCCTCGTAGCCGGGCGGCGCGACAATCCAATCGTTCCATCCAACATCACTAAAATCAACATATAGTTCATGTTTCTGACAACTTGGCCTTTTTAGTTTCCGCTCTTTCTTTTTACGGTTGCCATTATTCCCACTCGCGCGCTTGCTTCGTCCATCGTCCGTGTACGTTACAATAATAGGCCGCTCTTGATCCCAATCATCTAAGTCCATACTTTCGTCCTGGTGTGTACTTCTTGACATTCGGACATGCCTCTGTGTAGCTGGTCTACCATCTTTGCCAATTGTCTCAAGCAATAATCCATAATTCTCCTCCGGCAGTACTCTCCATCTCTGAACTGCCGGTTTAACGTCAAACGTTTCCCAATTAGTTTCATGAGAATCTACTACTTTTGTATCAATTAAGCGTTTAATAACGTCTCTATTTTTCGCAACTGGTTTCAATATTTCATAGATATTTATCCTCTGTTTTTCACTTTGATGGTCAATGTCCCGCTTGTGTATTGAATGATTCGCTTTTCTGAATATCCTTAATTCTGCTGCAGTGACCACCTCATGGTCCGGTATCGTTGAAACATTAAAATGGATATGATGCCCATGGTGGTCCCTCGTTGTCTGGTCGTTACTTACGGTATCTGAAACAAAATGAGTATAGAATTTGAATAACAGCCTTTGTTTCACGAAACAAAACTATTGGCATTGAAAAGTAGCTTTTTGTTAACGATTGTAATAGTGATCTACATAAAAGAATTAATGAAAAGGCATTTCGAATAGTGTTAATGGGTACATTCACTGGCGATTTAATCCAGCGGGAGTGAGCCTCAACATGAGCAGTGTGGCAAAACAATCTACAAACAAGGAGAAAATATCGGAGATAGTTACCTTCTTCGTGGTGGAAACTTCGTACTGTATTCGCAGAACTGGTAGTGATACCTTTCACTTTAAAGTGCATCCTGACACCGTCTTCATTTTCTTTTTGCTTTTTGTATAAGTCCATCATATATTGTGGAATAACAATATCCTTTTTTGGTTTAGGTCGCTCTTTCAGTCCAAACATATTCAGTAAGTTATTTTCAAAGGCTTTCACAACTTCTTCTCGACTGAGGCCCCTCCTTTCGGCTACCGCCTGTATCGTTCCGCTCAACATTCCTTGTGCCCGACAGGCGTCATAACAGAGAATTAACAGCCAAATTGTTGTCACAAAGGAAGTAGAAATATTGACCATGATGATTTCTGAAAACATAAAACAACACGACACGTTAAACGCTTTGCTGGCTCAGCCCATGACGACAGCGTGCTATGCGCGCCTAGCCTCCAACGCTCCAACCAACACTCTGTCCCATCAACGCAATTACGTCAGGAGATATCTGTTGTTATCTATAACAATGTCTTATTAAAAGGTGTTGGGCTCAGTTTAAATTAACCGAATACATTAGCGAAGATGTCATGGCGATCTCTATTGTCCTGTATTCCATTTGATATTACTTAACTTAAGCAGCGTATCAGTAGCCGGGTAAACGGTGATTGTGATACAAACAAATATGGTAATACACGATTAAACGAAATGAATAGCCCGTTGTAAAAAAAAATATATAAAGTAAATTGTTTGGAAACACGAGCCAAAACTTCATTAATGAGTCATAAAAATTGAAGCGCAGGACATCGAATCTTATTACTGCTCATTACTATTTCCTTTATGACCCAAATATTTCAACTTCAAATTTCAAAATCTTTACTTTTATGATTGATAGTGAGGGAAAATGTAATTTCCCACACGAACGGTTGGACCAATCAGAAGCATCTTAAGCGTGCGTCAGTATTTGCGAAAGCGGATTCCACAGTTTGTGTTAGCCTCGAGATGATAGCATAGACGCTATGGAGCCGGGAACTCCCATCACACAGACAGCAAAGCTAAATTGTTCCCGTAAATAAACAGAGAATCATAATTATTTCTAATTAGAGTCATCCATCTTCACTTTGGAATGTAGCGCTGAAATTGGAACCCCGAACGATCATTGCAAAGTGTTACCGATTGAAATACTTGTGATGTCATGAATAATTATTATCATCGTGGTATTTGTTTCTTGTACATTTTTTTTTATAAAACATCACAATTGTGTCTATGAAGTATCTAGAGATATCTTAGCAAAAATAAACCAGATGGAATAGAAACTGTGTCATATGGCTAGATTTTTATATGTAGGCCTAATGATTTTTAGACCTAAATTGTCAATAAAACCAATGATGTTTTATTATGTTCATAACTGTGTATACATAGCCTAACCATTAAATTATATATGCCTATAATTTACCTTTAATTTTTTTGTTTTTCCCTAGTGGCTTTTCCTGTGCCGCTATAGGCATATATATTTTAATGTTCATAATACAGTAATCATAATATTTTTCTGAAAAGATTTGAACAGCTTATAAATCATAACGAGTTAAAAAGCGTATGCTATATAGATTGACTCATCTAATCGTCAGGATGAGATGAAATTTCTTGCAATTAATAGGCCTATCTTACATAGGCCTAGGCCTATTCATTTATTGTTATTAATATTATTATAACTTTAAATATGATTCTATAGGCCTATGGAGGCCTATATATATATTTTCCAACTAAGCAAGTAGGTATACCCCAAGTGATAAACATTGATTTATTACATACATTCTATAACATCATGTTATTATTATTATTATTATTTTTTATATATGTGTTCTTATTATTATTATTATTATTATTATTATTATTATTTACACACACACACACACACACACATATATATATATATAT